TGTACCTTCAATAACTGTTAGCATTTTCTAGTATATCAGGGCTGTCAAAGATACGGCCCATGAGCAGATCCAGACCATGGAGCCCTAGGATGTGGCCCATGGGTCTCACGCTAATCCAGTATGCTGCATGTCCCCTGTGCCACATGGTGGACAGTGCCATGCACTGTGTGCAGAACAAGCCTTGGACTGGGGTTAGTGCATGCTGCATGCAGCATGGGGCTGGAAGCAGAACACATGCTGCACACAACACAAGGGGCCAATTCAGGATGTGCACAGCATGTGGCACCCCTCCAGACTAGGCCTGCATGCTGGCTTTGAGGCTGGTCCCAACCAGGCTCACAAATCAGTCCCACGTACTGGAGCCAACACACAGGGTAGATCCAGCATGAGCGCTCCATATATCATGTGCCCCATGTGAGCCTCAGACTGGTGGCTGGCATGCACAGGGCTGAGTCGTGGCACTCACTGCATGAGCTCTGGTGCATGGGGTTGATCTGTGGGGGTCCAGCCTCGCATCCCTCATCTGACCAACAGGGCTGGATGAATTTGACAGCCCTTCAGTATATATCAGTATATATTTCTTAATAACCTGATTTATTTTCTCTATAATGGATATTTTTCAAGTAAAAAGATAATTGTGTGGGGATGGTAAAGGAAATAAAAAGTATGGACCTTAATTCATTTTAGTTACTGTTTACCTGTCAGCTGTTGTTCATGGGCTATTGAATTTTCACCCTGATAATTGATCTGAGCTAAAATGGAGTCATGTGATAAAGTTTTGAATAATTGTTTACAGCAATAAGTGGTCTGTTTCATGAGAGAAATTTCTGTGGCAGATTTGTGTGTTTTTAACTTTGTGACAGAGTAGTCACATAGTCAAGTTCTGTGGCAGAGTAGTCTTGGTTTTGGATCAGTGTCAGCTGAGATTAAACAGTTTACCATCCAATCAGTAGTTTAGCTCCACTTCAAATGGATGGTTGTGGGCATTCAGGTGTAGTATCACAGTAAGGAATATTGAAAGAGAGTGTTGGAACGATGATGCAGCCTTGCTTAACTCTCATCTTAACCTCAAAGAGATATGTGATAGATCCATTCCTAAGAACCACTGCTCACATATGGTCATGGACCAGGCAAAGAATGGTGATGAATTTCGGTGGGCATCCATACATCAAAAGGATGCTCTACAGTGCTTCTCAGTTGACAGAGTCAAAGGTTTTCATGAGGTCAAAGAAGGCAATGTAGAAGCGTTTATGTTGTTCCCAACACTTTTCCTGCGGCTAGCAAGCAGTGAACATCATGTCAGGGTTGGGCCTCTTGATGCCTTAAAGCCACACTGAGATTCTGGGAGGAGCTGAGATTATGGAAGTGATGGCTAGTGCCAACAGGACAGGCTCAGCAAATGGAAGGAAATGGTTCAGGGAAGTTCTCATAATTATCTTTCCTGTGGTGGACAGTAAGGAGATCCCTCTGTAATTTCCAGTTGTACCTGTCTCCTTTCTTGAAGATTGTGACAATCATGAAATCCCTAAGGTCATCTGGGATTTCCTCATCATTCCAGAACCTTAAGATGAAGGCATGGGGCTGTAATATAAGCTTCTCTCCCCCCATTTGAAGATTTTGGCAAGAATTCCATCAGCTCCAGATGCTTTGTCATTCTTCATCTGCTTCATGGCTTTCCTCACGTCTTCAAGGGTTGGTCACTTCTGAGGGTGTGTTGCAGGATGGAATTGAGAACGCACTCATCAACACCAGAGTGTCAATTGAAAAGGTCCTGAAAATGTGCCTTGCAGTGGGCACTGATGGCTCCCCTTTCCTTGATAAGGTTTCTTCCATCTTTAGGTTTCAAGGGGGCTGATCCCCGAGTGCTTGGACTGTAGATGTGTTTGTGGTGCTAAGATAACTCTGCATATCTTGGATGTCAGCAAGATATTGAATCTGCTTTGCACTTATGGTTGATCAATTCTTAGATCTCCTGATCATTCTCATCAAACCAGTTGATATTTCCTGGTAGTGAATCCAAGTGTCTCTTCAAAGGCAAGTGGACTTGAAGGCACCCCAAACGCTGCTGATATTTTCCCATAGCTGTTGACTGGAATTCACCAGTTTTTCATTGAGGTACCGGTGGAAGAGGTCTTTCTTGATTGTGTGCTGAAGTCCTTCCATTTGCATTGCTTCTGCTGCAACTGTCATTTGGGAGCCAGGCTAATGACATAACCAAGTGGATGAATCAGTGATTGGTCCAGAAATCATCAGCTATTAGCATAGCTCAAGTGATGCAAACATCTTTGCAATTCTGGACATGTACACTGACACAGTCAGTCAAATGCCAATGGTTAGATTGCAGGTGTCTCCAGGATGTCTTCTACCTGTGTTTCTTGCAGAAAAGGGTGTTGGTGATGGTGGGTTCATGTTCTGCACGCTTGGCCAACAGGATAATACTGTTGGAAATGACCTTTCCTTCATTGCCAACGATTCCATTCCAGAGGTTAAGGCCCTTCCAACTCTGGCATTGAAATCTCTGAGCAGAATAAGTCTGCCTCCCTCTGGAACACCATAGAGGATTTGGTTAAGGTTGGCATAGAATTCCGCCTTGGTTTAATCACCGGTGTCAAGAGTCAAGGCATATGCACTGATGATAGTGGCATATTGGCTCCCTGCCACTTTAAAACAAAAAATCATGAGATGCTCATTAAGTCCAATAGGGAGGTCATTGAGTTGGTTTATAAGTTCATTCTTAATGACAAATCCAGCTCTATGAAGTCGGTGTTCTCTTCCTGTTTACCCTTCCAAAGAATGTATAGCCCCCTCCTTGTTCTTTGAGCTGCCCATCTCCCACTCCTTGAGTCTTGCTCAGTGCAGTGATGTCCATATTGTGTCACCCAAGTTCTTGGGCCATGATTCCTATGTGGTGCTTTGGGCATTCACTATTAGGATTGTCCATGAGGGTCCTGATGTTCCAAGTCTCAAAAATGATTGCGTGTCTTCACTGATTTTTGACCTCAGTAAAAGTGATCCCACTGGACATGGTTATCCATTCAAAAAGAGGGTGGGGTAGGCAGACTGTTTAGGGCACCTTTTTTAGCCTCCCCCCCATGTTGGGTGAGCAGAGTGGATCCTAAAAGGGGCTGCTCAGTCACAGTTACAGCTGCCAAATCACACTCCTGCCAATCCAGGTGCCAGATGACCTCCTTGCAACTACCGCCTTCATGCCAGTTCATGACTAGGAGCTTTCAGGCCTCACAATCCTGCTCCCATCATCACTAGTTGGTCACCAAAGGACTTGAAAAATATGCTAAACCCATTCTCATGGAAGACACCTGTGCATGATTTCTTTTATCATGGAGTAGCTGTTGCACATCAACTTCCACAGGGTTGCTGACAGAACAGGACCTTGATCCAATGGCAAGGAATCCAAGACAATTGGATATCTCATTCTGCTGCAGCCTACATCTTCCTTCGCAGCCATTGAGATTCTAACATCTTCCTCCTGCTCTGCCACTAAGGACTTGTAGACCCATGGCTGGGGGCTGGACAGTCTTATTATAATAGTGACCTGTACTCGCTATGTCACAGCATAATTAGAGGATATATGTGGCTTTTCAGAAGGGAGAGTGTTACCATCTGCTGTACCTACCACATCCTGGTGGTGCTGTTGTTGCTTAGTCTGTGACTGCTTATTCATCAGAGTTACCCCTGCTTATTTCACAGCTAACCTTCCCTGAAGGACATTCACCATCCACCACATGTGGATACATGCTGGGTAGCAGCACAGCTCTGCCACCAGATACAATGAATAAGTTTATACTTGCACTGTGGCATGATGATTATTTTTGATGAACCCATGTCCTGCAGAGGGTAGGTTTTTTGCAATGCTTGAAAACTGAGATTTTTTTTGCAGTGACCTAAAAATCATAATGGTAAGTCATGGTAAAGAACTTGTATATCTGTGTGCTTTTTTTAGTGAGAAGGGCAGGGGGATGATGCTGAGTGAAGTGTCTCATTTATTTTTTTTTTACCAATTCCATTTTTTTTTAAGAAGATGCTTTGCTCAAAGGAGTTTGCATGACAATTTTTCAAGTATTCAAGTTGTTTTCTACATATTTACTGATTTGATATTCTCTTCCTGTAGAGAGAAAGTAAATTTAGAAAACAAAGACTCCAAAATATTTTTTTTAAATGCTATAGCTATGAAAGCTTGTGACAAGAAGGACAGAGCTGGTCAGAAAATTTATGGCAAAACATTTTTTTTTCCCATTAGAGGTTGGTGATTCATCTAAATATTTTTTTTTTTCGAAGATGGTTCAATATTGAGAGAGCTCCAGAGTAAACCATTGTCCCAATCACTGTTTCAACTCCCTACCTCTTTTGCAACCACTTAACATGCTGACATGACACATGAAGCTTGGAAGCCATTGTAACTCCATATCCCAGACTCCTAAGGCTGCCAGTATCCCCTGGGGTAGTCCATCAGGTTGTCTGGCCTGAATTTGTTGGGTTTTTCCCCCTTTCATAGAAAATATAAAAAGTTGTGGATTTTGTTCTGACCTGGAGAATCCTGCTTTGAGCAGAAGGTTGGGCTAGGTGACCTCCTAAAGTCCCTAAGAAGTCTATTTTCCTTGTTAAATGTCGAAATAGCAAAATCCTCTACATCAGCACATCTCTGACTTTGAGGTTTGTGTTCCATGTCAATACAATCAGCTACTTTCATCCCCCCATCTTCAGATGCCACATTTTATTTGCTACTTTCGCACATGTGCAGTATTTACACGATTCACACATTCCTGGACAGTGGACTTAGATAATACTTATTGAATAAGTCAGGACATCCCATAGTGGGTGTACCCCATAGCACTATTCTACATACTAGTGATACAACCAGCTGAAAAAAGACTTCATATTGTAGATATTCATCCCACATAAATAACATTTTTTTCCTATTGCATATGGAACAATTGATATTTCCCTATAACAATATTATTGTGTTTTCATTGTTTCAATAGGTGGGAAATGTTGTTCAGTTTCAGTGTAAAAAAGGACACCTTCTCCATGGATCCACAACCCGCACTTGCCTTCCTGACCTTACATGGAGTGGGATTCAACCAGAGTGTATACGTATGTAAATGGATCAGATAGTGAAATATATTATAGCTTATGAAAAAGCTTCTATATTAGAATGCTTCAGTTAATTTCAATTTACATTTATAGTTTAATGTTGAAAAGTAGTAAGTGACAAACAATCTTAGCTGTAAGAAACCAAAAGAATACAGAAGGATGCAGGTGAATAGAGAGAAGGCCAACTGAAAATTATGCTAGGACAAGGCAGGCCTGAATCAGGGAGCTGCAAACTGCACATTATTGACAACAATACATGGTTTGAACTACTTGCCTAGTACCTCTTCAAGATAGTTTGGAGAAGGGCCAAAAAAGTTATTAAAAGGAATGAGCTATATCTGTCTCAGATAGGAAGTTCTTCAGGAGGAAATGCATTTCACTCCTTGGGCGGTATGAATGTTTACAGTTATTTGTACATTATTGCAAAGGTAGATTCTTAAACTAAATCACTTTGGTATACATGAATCTACTCACAAAACCATGATGTACTTATGCAAATTAAATGCAGAAGAAAGAATATAGTGAGATAATATATTTTATTAGACCAATTAAATAGTTGGAAAAGTTGTTTTTTACAAGCTTTCAGGCACAAACACCCTTCAGGCATTGGGACAGTCTGCTGCTGTTCTCCTGGATGGGATAGAGGCCAATATGTAAAATGCAGGTCTGTAAAAATGCAAATGCATGGCAGTGTGGATCACAGGTGAGGGGAGACAACAACCCACATGTATTGTCTCCTATCGCCTCTGATCCTCCTGTGAAAATGCAAATGCGCGCAAGTGAGGATCAGAGGCGATAGGAGACAATACATGTGGGTTGTTGTCTCCCATCACCTGTGATCCTCACTGCCATGCATTTGCATTTTCACAGACCTGCATTTTGCGTATTGACTTCTATTCCATCCAGGAGAACACAAACAGCAGACTCTGCCTATGTCCAAAGAAGGGTGTTCATGACTGAAAGCTTGCAAAGAATATTTTTTCCAACTATTTAGTTGGTCTAATAAAATATATCATACTTACCCAAGGAACCTTGTCTGCCTATGTCCTTAGACCAACCCAGCTACAATCGGCACCCCCACAGAAATATAAGTAATTGTTGTTAAAACTTTTAATTGCTTACATAGAAGTGTTTGAAGTCATTTCTTCAGAAGTGTTATTGCTATTTCAACTAACAAATAATTTATGATTTCTTTGTAGCTCATAACTGTAAACAGCCAGAAACGCCATCTCATGCTAACATTGCAGGAATGGATCTTCCTTCCCTTGGTTATACTTTGATTTATACCTGTCAGTCAGGTTTCTTCCTGGCAGGAGGATCAGAGCACAGAGCCTGTAGGTCTGATGGCACATGGACTGGGAAAGTTCCAGTTTGTGAAGGTAATTAATCCCTTCTGCTTCCCCACTCTCTTCCTCTGCCTCTAATATTAAACTTCTAATTTTCTTTCATTTGCTATTTAGTAATCATCAGAAAAGGTAGAAAATCAGGCCTGAGTTTACAGTGCAGGAGAGTTCTTCAACCACTGGGCTACAGAGTATAAATTGGATATGCACTCTTGTCTGTCATGGACTTCTGTGGAGGTTGTGCTGTGAAAAAGTGTATAGAATAATGCTCTACACATGACATAGGCAGAGGACAACACATGCCCACCATATGTTAGGCATGAGCTAGGAACAGCTAGGCAGTATTGGGACATGTTTTTGTACATGTTTATGGAAACATAGATCACACCTGCACAGTACATTCAACATGCTCCAGAGCCACATCCTTAAGCATATTCTACAATTTCATGTGTACTGCTCCTAAACTGGGAGTAGTAGCCTCATCTGTGTGGTGCCTTGGACAGATAATTATAACTGCTAAGTAAAGGGCAGACAATTATTTCAGCTGAAGGGTCACTTTAATGAGTTTTGGAGAGCTGTTGAGGGTCACAAAGGTATCCCCACCCCTTGACAGGTGCCCTTCCTCCTGGTTGCCATCTTGGGACTGGAAGTCCCACCCCCAACCCCTGATCTTTGCCACTGGAAGTCCCTACCCTTGCCCCCAGAAGTACTTCTTTTGCAAAGAGGGGTTTGCCATCTTGGAACTGGGAAAAAACCTCCAAAATAAATCGTATACTAAAAATCATTATAACTTTTTATTTAAAAAAATATTTTTGTCCTTATTTATGGGTGTTTGCATAGTATATATAGAGGCAATTGCAAAATAGCTCAAAATAAAATCTTACTCGTATATTGTATGTGGTTGGGGGCCTGGATATGTGTGTGATGGGGTATGGGCAGCTGTAGGTGTGGGGTTTGTGGGCTGATGTGAGTTTGTGAGCAGGGTGTTGGTCGTGTGATGTGTAGGGGAGGGTGTGGTTGTAGGGTTTGTGGGGGAGGATGTATGGGCATGGTGGGATATGTGTGGGACACACACACACATGTAGCCCAATGTAATAGCCCTCCCCACATGCAGGGCAGGGTAGACAGGCCAGCTAAGCCCTAGGGCTGTGGCTGCTACTAGCAGTGGCTTGTAGTACCCATGGCCCTGGTTACTGAAACCTCCACTCTGCCTTCCCCTAGTGACTGGGCCTCCCATGCTCCCCCACCCACACCATTGCTATGGAAGCTAATGGGGCCCCATGGCACTGGAGGCTGAAGGGCCTGGCCTGGAGGGTGCAGTATACGTGCACTCCTGGGGCCACCACGTTCAAGTCAGCGGGTCCGGATGCTCTCCACCCCACGG